GGCGCCCCCGGCCCGGCTCCGTCCGCCCGCCCCCGGCCGGTCAGCGCCCGGCGTGGGGCTGTCGGGAACCGCGCGCTGATTGGCCGCCGCCCCCTCATTTATAGCCCGTCAATCACGGACCCCCGCGAGCCGTGCGCGCATCGCCCGCTGCCGCCCGCGGGAGCCGCTCCGCACAGCAGCAGCTCCGGCACCTCGGGGAGCGGCTTCTGCCAGGCACCGAAACTTCCTCCTGTGCTCTCGTGGCAGCCGCCCAGACAGGTTCTTTCTTCTCTCTTTTTTTTTTTTTTTTTTTTTTTTTTTTTTTTTTTTTGGTTTTTGGTTTTTTTTTTTTTTTTTTTTTTTTTTTTTTTTGAACTTCCTCTCCTCGCTCGGTGCCCGCCTGCCCGCCGCCCTGGCGCACCTTTTACCGGCCCCGGCCATGTACAGCATGCTGGAGACGGAGATCAAGGCGCCGCAGCCCACGCCGGGCAGCACCGGGGGCAACCCGGCTCCGGGGAGCACCGGCAAAGGCGGCGGAGGCGGCGGGGCCGGCAACGGAGCGGGAGCGGGCTCGGACCAGGACCGGGTGAAGCGCCCCATGAACGCCTTCATGGTGTGGTCCCGCGGGCAGCGGCGGAAGATGGCCCAGGAGAACCCCAAGATGCACAACTCGGAGATCAGCAAGCGCCTCGGCGCCGACTGGAAGCTGCTGAGCGACGCCGAGAAGCGGCCCTTCATCGACGAGGCCAAGCGGCTGCGGGCCGTGCACATGAAGGAGTATCCGGATTACAAATACCGGCCCCGGAGAAAGACCAAGACCTTGCTGAAGAAGGACAAATACTCGCTGCCCGGTAACCTGCTGGCCCCGGGGGGGGGCAACGCGGTGAGCAGCCCCGTCGGGGTGGGGCAGAGGATTGACACTTATGCCCACATGAACGGCTGGACCAACGGGGCTTACTCACTGATGCAAGACCAGCTGGGCTACAGCCAGCACCCGGGCATGAACAGCCCGCAGCTGCAGCAGATGCACCGCTACGACATGACGGGCCTGCAGTACAGCCCCATGATGTCCACGGCACAGACCTACATGAACGCCGCCTCCACCTACAGCATGTCCCCCGCCGCCTACGGCCAGCAGCCCTCCACGGCCATGAGCCTGGGCTCCATGGGCTCCGTGGTGAAATCCGAGCCCAGCTCGCCGCCTCCGGCCATCACTTCCCACTCGCAGAGGGCCTGCCTGGGAGACCTGCGGGATATGATCAGCATGTACCTGCCCCCCGGCGGGGATGCCACAGACCCTTCGGCCCTGCAGGGCAGCAGGTTACACAGCGTGCACCAGCACTACCAGAGTGCCGGGACTGCCGTCAATGGTACCGTACCACTAACTCACATATAAACTTGGCTGCTCCGGACGGCTCCCTGTCCTCATCCCTAACCCCACCACCGCTCCCTGACTGCACCGGGACGTACGGCAGTGTTGCTCCGCTTAGACTTAATACTAACTCTGGAGAAATTTTAAAAAGGAAATCCGTTAGTTGTGTCCTTTTTTATTTTCCTTTTTTTTTTTTTTATATTTGAGCAAGTTGTTATTTTAATAGAGCACAACTCCTGCCTCCTAGAAGCCGCTGTGAAGTTTTCAAACCACGGCAACTCCTTTCCTGGTTTCGGCTAGGTTGGGCACTGTTTTATTTGCTTAAAAGTTTTTTAAAAAATCTTGCATCTTCCAGTTTGATTTCTAGCGTTGCAATGACAAACAAAAAACGCGGGCTTTTGTTTTTAAACTCGGTTGTTCACATAATCGCTGTGGTTTATTAAGTGTTTTGTTATCGACCCTCGCTTGGTTTCCATCCGCAATCTGTAGCTTCCACGACTTTTTAATTTTGAGGTTTTATTCCTTGAAAAGGGGGAGGTGGGAGAGAGCAGAGCTGTGCGGGTCGCAAACGCGTTACTTTTATTTATAGTAAGTTGTATGTCTTGGTTTTTCTTAAGCTGTAAACTTATGTAAATGGGTTTGTGAATTTTACTGTGAAACATGTTTTGGCATATCGGATAAAAACGTTTTAGTTTTGTTACCGGATTCCTTCCAAAAAAAAAAAAAAAACCCAAAAAAAAAGTCATCGAAATACTCCTTCCCTGTTCCTAGTTCTCGTTTGCTTCCTTCTTCCAAATGAAGAGAGATCAATAAATTTTCTATCAGGCACGTCGGCGGTGTCCGGGCGCTTTGTGCGGATCCCCCTCGGCTGCGGGGAGCGCGGAGCGGGGCAGGGCCGGGCGCGTCCCGGGGCTCCCCGCGGGCAGCATCGCCGCCCGTCCGGCAGCTGCCGGCGCTTTTCGGCCGCGCTTCTCTGCCTGCCCAGCCGGGCTGTGTTTTGGGGGGCGGGAGAGGGAGAACGTGCTCCTTGGATTTGGTTTTCTATTCAAGTGAAGCGGGAGCCGGGCGGGGAAGCGTCGCTGCCGGGGCTGGCGCTCTGCGAGCCGCGGCCACTTGTTGCCTCTCCGCCCGGCTGCCTTCCTTCTCTCGGCCGGCGGGGAGCGAACGGGATTACGGCTCCGCCTCGGCTTGTTGTGCTTTTTATTTCCTTTTTTTTTTTTTTTTTTTTTATTTGCCTAGATACGCCAGGTCATCTGAAATATTTACAAAGGTAAAACCCGTTGGGGAACTCTTTAATTAGACTCCATTAAAAATGAATGGTTACAGGAGTCCCCAGAGGAAATAAATAATTCAGTCTTTTCAGTATGTTTGACGAGTGTTTGGAGTCTGGACAACTTTTCCTTCGTTTTTCTGCCCTTTTTATATCTATATTTTTAGTTGGTTTATTTTTAGGGATGTGCGTTACTCGTGGCTGCGCTGCGGAACAGCCCCGGCGGAGCTGAGCCTCGCTTCTCCCTGCCTCCGAGCCCCGTTCCGCCCGGGTCCCCACGCGTGTCCCCGGCTCCTGGGCACGGTCCTGGCTCCGAGCTCCCCGCTCCGCAGCGCATCCCCGCTCCGAGCTTCGCCTGCTCCCGCTGCCCCTCCGCTGTTCGCCTTGGGACGGGAGCAGAGGGACTGCGAGGCTTTGGGTACGGGGTCTGTCCTGTCACCCCTTACCGACGGCAGTTCTGGGGACACTTTGTGCCCCTTGGCTGCCCGGGGCGGTCGCATCCGCGCTGCTTCCCCGGCGCTTCCCCGGCGCTCCGCGGGGATGCCCCGGTAGCGGCTCAAGCCTTCTCCCCCGAACACGGCAGGGCTCGGGCAGGGCTTTCCTCGGGCTCTCCCACGGGGCGAGGATGCTCTGCAAACCTCCCCAGAGCCCCGTTCGCTGGCGGGGTGCCCGGCTCCTGGCCCCCGGGGAAGGGGCAGCCCCCGGCCCCGCTCGCTGCCCCGCGCTCCGGTCAGGGCGGCAGAGCCCGGGCACCACCGCTGCCCCCGGGACAGGCTCGGGGATCACCCGGTGAATGAGAACCCAGCGTGTTTCACACCCACAGCTCCATTCTTCCGTAAGATTTCTGGTGAAATCTGGCAAACCTGTGGCGCTGCTGCTGCCTGTTTGTGCTGCTGTCCTGCAGGTAGGAGCAGGAGAGTAGAGTAGCTGGTACCATGACCTACTAGCCCGTGGGGAGAAGCAGATCCATAAATAAACCTGGAGGCCTGAGAGAAGGTGGTAGCATCAGTGGGGTTAGTAGAATACAGGATATAGGCAGGGCAGCAGCAGGACCGATTTCAGCTCAATGGAGTCAAATTGTTCCCCAGTGCTATCTCCAGAACTGGCAGTGCCAGGTCTCAGTGGGGAAGAGTGAAATTCCCATTCCCTGAAACAATTCTCCCTCCACCTTCCCAGGCAGGTGTGCAGGTGCAGGTCAGACAAAAGCCAGGGCTCCTGAGCAGGTGAGCAGCTCCTAGCACTGGAATTGTACTTGGTGTCTTCAGAGTCAAACTGCAGCTGCATCATTATAAATAGTTGTTCTTTGCATCTGAGTTTTGTGGAAGGGGATTCTCTGCCACAAAAGGGGAGAAATGCTGTTTTTTCATAGTTTGTACTATTTCTAAGCTCAAATTATCCTTGTTTGGCCTAAGTCAGGGCCAAAGGAAGAGTCTGAGCAAGTTCCTGAGGGGTCGCAGAGAAATGTCTCTGCCTTGTTCTCTCTGGAAGCTCCTCTGAGTGGTTTGGCTTAGGGCTGCTTTTCCTGATTTACTGGTTTTGAGATGTCCAGGTAAAATTCCCAATGCAGTTCTCAGCTTCCTGAGGCTAATCTTTATCCCAAAGTTCAGAAGCCGTGGTCAGAGTTGTGGGGAGGTTCTGAACAGCTGCACACAGTGGCTGGGAGAGGCCCATGGAACCCAGCCTTGTGCATTAATACGGATACAGCCTCTTCTTCCTTCAGCAGGAGCGTTTTTAATAGAGAGTCAACAGCATAGAGGGAGATATTGCCTGAAAGACAGCTTTTTTTTCCCCCAAAGAGCAGTTACATCCTTTGCTTGGGCCCAGGAGATTTTCCTCCTGAACAAATGCAGAAATATATTCTCTTTAGATCTGGTGGTTTGTTTTACTTGTGCTGAACACCATTTTTAAATTTGCAGGGTATCTGGCCCTTGACATCCCTCCTGCATGCATGCAAGCATTAAATCCAAATGCCTTTTCAGCACTGCCCAGGCAGGATTTCCTTCCTCTGCTGGTGTGGGAGAGCTCAGAACGGAACCATTAACTTTCACAGGTAAAGTTCCAAACTTTAGGTGCTGGGTTGTTGCATGTGCACCATCATCAGCAGCTCTTTGCACAGTTAAAACAACTCCAGCCTTATTCTACAACATCCAAGATAAGTGTAAGTGCACCCTTTATCTTTAGAGTGACAGAGCACTGCCTCTGAAGAGGTTAACGCTGGCATTAAAGTGTAATGACAATATTTAGACTTTTGTTTTATCGTATTTTTGAGGGGAAGATAACACTTGGTGCTGTTGGTTTGTCAAAACCCCGTGTATTGGGTTACATTTTCATGGTTCCTTCCTATGCCAAAGAGCTTCAGAGCTAATTTATTGCAACAAAAGTTGGTAAGTTAAAATACTTCAAGTTACATTTTTGAAACAGTGAGTAAAGTATAATAATTAGCAGAGGAAACTGACTGTGAGTATTTTAAGAATATTTTAAGGATATACCTTAAACTGCATGCTTTTTTATTTCTACTATTTCTTTGCTACAAGAAGAGATGAAGACTAAATTCAGGAAAATCATTAGCATAGACACTTTGTGAAAACATTCATAAATTATCTTTTTAGCTGTCCCATATCAAACGTGGGACTAAGAAAGATACTTTTCAGGAACATTATTAGGAAGATAGGAACTTGTCTAACTCTCCTCCAGTGTTAAGGGAAAGGATGATTTCTACACCTGAAATCTGAAGCTGGGTGATGTTCAGGGCTGGAATGTTGCTCCTATTCTCAGTGCCTGCAGAAGTGAGATTCTTGATATGGCTTCTTTTCCACTTACACAGACCTTGATCCCAGATTTCCTATAGCCATATCCTCTTTACTCACATGCTCTAGATTCAGATTATTTCTATGATAAATTCCATCACTAAATTCTGACAAAACACTAACAAAGAGAAAAAAAAAGAATCAATTTCTTTTATGATTTCTCAAGGAAGGTGTGGATAGCCATTGTTGTAGGTGTGTTTGCATGGGGTAATTTAGTGGTGAATGCAGATTTCCAGAATAGTTATCCACATACTTCCCTATGACAACTTTTAATTGATGCCACCGAATGAAGCAATCAGTGAAACACAGTGACTTTTTTCCAACAGAATGTCCTCAGGATGAGGAATTAATTATTCTTTTTCTGCAAATACCGTTCACAGCCAAATTCTTTGTATTGCTAGTCAAGCAAACAGGATTTTAGGTCTGCTTCTTCCAAAGGCATCCTCAGAAGCTCAGTATCCATATTAAACCTCAATTTTCCAGTTTCTAAAATATCCGTACCTCCTTAGTGCAGCAGGGGAGATTGCAAAGCATATGAGCAAACATAAGAGAGCAAGAGAACTGGGAGAGGTCACAGCACATCCATAAAAAGATGTATTTATACCTTCTCCATGATGAAAACAAAAAAAAAATTGTGTACCACAGTGTTTTGCTCAGGGTGCTCATCTTTATTGTTGTTCCTACGTTCAACTATAATATATTTATATTTATTCATGAATACATCACATTAAGACCAATCAGAGTATGGTTTGGCCTGGTTTGAAAATATTTGTGCTGATGTCAGAGAAGTCTCCAATTCAAGTCCACGTGAGGGAGAAGTTATGGGGTTTTAACACATCCTGTGGATCTTGTGGAAAAATCTGCACTTTTTTCCATGCTTTGGCCATCCCATGCTGGGGGATTGGTGCAAACTCCCCTGGGCTGATGGGGTGAGGTGTGAAACACAAACTCCTGCATAAGCCAGGCTGCCTGCAAAGAAATGCCCCATCCCGGGTGGATATTCCACGTGCAGCCAGGCTCAGGGAGCCCGGCATCCCTGGGGAACAGCTTAGCAATAAGAGGGAAATTAAGCAACGTTCAAAACTTGTGAGCTACTGTCATTTGTCTCTTCTGCAGCTTCTGATTGAGATTCTGGCCTCGGTGAGCTCTTTCCTTTGTCTCTGTGGAGAATATTATGCATCTTTTCTATGCAGGCCATAGGAAATAGTAGAGCAGTGATTGCACCGAGCCTTCAGGATTTCCCCTTTGTACAAGACTCGGCTTATTCATTTCATGCATCATTCACAGCTTGCTGTGCTGATTTCAAAAATTCTATACATCCACTCAAAGGGGAGAGACACAAAGGGGAGAGACAGAGCATGGTGCTGGACGTGCC